TGCTAAATTAATTTATCAACTTTTAATACTTTTTAAGACCCCGCGGACACCCTGCATAAAAGCATTTCAATTAATATTGGGAGTCATATCGTTACTTTGTTGAGAATGTGGCAAAGTAATAAGCGGGATAATGTGCAGCGACTTGGTCGCATATGATTATATAGAGTCATTATTCATTTGTTTTAAAGCAGGAGGCGCAAACGCTTGCCTCGGGGAGGGAGAAAAAGAGCCACAGCGGAGAATAAACAGAAGGGCAACCATGGCAACCATGGCAACCATGGCAACCATGGCAACCATGCGTGGGAAGTCTTCTTCACTGCTTTTGTGGCAGACTACAGCGCCAGCGTAGCGCTTTTGAGCGGCAATGGCCGGCCGTGGCCCAACCTCTCATTCCCCTGATAGGTGGAGAATTGACCACTAAGCGGAGCACCCCTTTTGTGACCTAGAAAATAATTCAAATATGGATCAGTCTGTATCAGATCCGTTAAAGCCCCTTTTTTAGAGATTTGGGTATGGAGGAAAAGAGAGAGGGTTGTATTTTCTGACACTTGGTGAGTTCCCTGACACACCGGGGACACATATAAAAGATGTACAAGAGTGCATTTTGCATAATAGGTCCCCTTTAAATTAAGAAATGTTTGGAACGGCGCTTCAGCTGTTTGTATTACCCTCCGTAGATTAACCACTTGTAGCCTGCTACACATAGTATTGTACTTGTGCAGTGTGTTTTGCGGTTTAACGGGCAAGCGGTCATTTTCAATTTAGTTTTTTAAATGTTAGTTTAATGTTTATTGAGCGTTTCATTTATTGGCCCTAGCCGACAGTTTACCTTGGTGTGCGTGTGTTTTTTAATTTCCTGCATGAAAAGCAATAAAGAATTGTATTTTAAAACTATTCCCGCCTGGAAGTCCATTTTATTTCCAAGTGTGCGACATTCTATTCGTGTTTCTCACGACTTCTGCAGTTAACTTTGAAACTTCAATTTTACCTATATAAATGATGGTTAAAATGACAAAAAAAGAATCCCAGCTTCTAATATATCTTTTATATCCGTTTTCTTTGATGAAATGTATTTTAAATCTGGAATGAGCAGGTTTAATTTTCTGTTAAGATGTATTTAACTTTTAATGTGAGTAGTGAAAGGCAGGTTAGAGATGACATGCAGATGAGTATACTTGTCATGTACAACAAATAAAATGAACTCGGTCTTTCTGACACTCTTCTTTTGGTCTCACATGTTCACTCTTCTCTTTCACACCCACATACACACCTACACTATCTAAGTGACAGTCTAAGCTGACACACTGAGTACAGCTCTACTACTGCTGATCCCTTGAGTCTATTCTCTCCTCAGGGAAGAGGTCAATTCAATACTGTAACCCCAAAGCCATATAGAAACCCACACATGCACACCTTTTATACACAGAAAAAATAGCACGACACACACACACCTGTCTCTGTCACTTCCATCAATCAGCCCAGCTGTGTGTTGACAGGTTATGTCTGTCCACAGTCCAGGTAATCTCAGGAGGCTCTTCTGGGAAGTGAGGCATTAAGCTGGTCTGACAAACTATTTAGTCTCAGTCAAGACTTCAGACGCCCTTTCTACCCTTTTACCTTAAAAAACAACAACAAAAGAACTCCCCTTTCTGTTATTTGTAACCTCTTCTCTAAACCTCCCCTCAGTTTCACAGCTTCCCTGCCATCAATCCCAAACCTTTTCAGTGCATCCTAATGTGCGTGTTGTCCTCGTATTATGTGGCAGCTCATCCGTTTTCATGCTAAATGTTGGGAAGATTCTGAATGTACTCTTCCAATATCAGAATAGCACATGATGCTGTGTACATGACAGGATGTATGATTAGAAAAGCATCAAGACACACTGTTTAAGGCATATGATAGCTATGTGACAACGATTAACATCATGAATCAGCCTCTATGGAGATAGACATATGACAAGCATGATCCTTTCTGACGTGGGCCTTAGCTAATCTAAACTAAACATTCTATAGTGCTTTGAACCGGTATTCCTGCATCTTGTGACTGTGTAACAGCCTCTCTTGTATGTAAGAATGTGAAGGACACTGTTCAGGAACTAGTTGTATCATATGCTCTATGTGATGACTACTTCCATTCTTGCAAGAATAATAAATACATGTATCCTGACATTGAAGCTCAAGCCGGTGACGAGTGATATTTTCCTTACAGGGAACTTTTCCCTTTCTTCTATTCCCTTTCTATGCACCTCACCATTGCACCTCTGCACAGACTCATGAATCGTCACACGTTGCATATTTTGACTAGCTTTCTCTCTTTCTCCTCCTACCTTGCATCTGTCCAGCCTGGCTGGTGAAGAGACTGGAGGAGCAGCCGATTTCCGTTCCCAGGAGAGACCCGTAATCCTGCTGAAACACTGGGGACAGAAAGAAGGGGGGGAGACGAGGTAAGGAGAGGAAGCGGGGGACACAGGTCAGCACAGCACTCAAGCTTCTCACCTATTGACCTTTACACGGCCAGCCGCTGACCGCTTCACCTTTAAACGTGACCTCTAAAATGGCTCCCTAGATAATGACTTTGACACTGACTGATTTTGCCTCTGGGTTAATTGTCCCTCTTAAACACAAATGCAGTTTCAAGATTTCATTATAACATTTGCAATTACGGTTTTTGAAGGCTAAAGAGATCCATGGTTTTTGGCATTAGGTGGAAGAATATGTACATTTCACATTATTGATATATATGATTAAAAAAAAGACATTTTCTGGAAAATCAACAGAATTCTTTTGGGCAAATCCAGTATATTTGACACCTGACAGACCCATTTCATTACTTTTATGTAACAATCATACAAATCAAATACAGTAACACATAAAGCTGTGCTGCTTGTTGGTCTTTAATCCACAATGGCCTCATATCTCCATAGATATAAGGATTATGCTATACTAATGATATGGCAAAATCTTTTCTGTTATACAGTATATCGTCATATCACCCACTTCTAATGCTAAAGCAGAAGGCACATTGAAGTTTTAATCGTTTAACAGAAAACAAATGTTTCTATATTGCGGGTGCTGGATTTTGCTGTCAGACCTGCATGGGTTGTCTGAAAACTTGTTTTTAAGACTGACGTAACATTACCTTCCAAAGGATTATTTAATTTGAGTCTATAAGCAATATTGCCTGCTCATTGTAGTCTGGCACAGTGCTCGTGGCAGTATGGTCTGATCTCTTTCTCTCTCACTGTCTTCCATTTTTATTCAGATCCATTCACAACCCAAATTGCCAGTCTTTTAAATCATCTTTTCACAGAACCATTAGTATGTCTATGATGAATTGTACTGTACGATACAATACAGAAAGAAATGTAATGTCTTGAAAAGAAATTAGTGGAGCATGAAAGATACGGCATATTACAAGGGAGTATTAGAGAGGATGGAACTGTGATGTGAGGTAGAAGGAAATGAAATTCATTGATACAATTATTGATCTATTTCTGGTTGGTAGAACTGGGAGCAGAGATATGAGAAACACCTACCTAATAAGCTGGGGTTAGGAAATCTCCACGATTCGTTGTATGTGGAATACTGGGGATGGGAGTATGGACTGCCAGAAAAATCTCCCCCTGAAAAAAACATAAACAAGAAACAGAGCATTAAACACAACAAAGAATAAAGAGGATGACCTTGTTTTTGTACCTTTTCCTTGTGAAATCAAATGCTAAACCTTTGTTGGTTTTAATCTTTAAATTTGAATTTTTCTGAGCCTTTGACTTTTATTTTGCGTTACCCGATCCGGCTGTATTTAAGTCCTTGTTAGTTTTTCAACCTCATTCAAATATTTTAGTATAAGTGAATGCTCTCAACACCTTATATCTATTGAACATAACTGTACTAAACGCCCTATCATATCTGGGATACTCGGGAGCAGCAGTTGTTATTTGAATGACAAATGGTAATGGCAAATTTGTCATGTAGCTTGAGGATCTTTGCTTATAATGAAGCTTTAACCAGGCGTTAGTTTTCTGCAGAATGATTTGCAGACTGGTTGAGGAGCTGAACAGGAGATCTCACTGTGGTGGTCCTCTCGTTTTGAGGATGATAGCATAGCTTTTCTTCCTCATTTACTACTTACTGTCTGGGGTCTACTCTTCCTCTTGTCTTCCCTTCACCCCTTTCTCTTTATTTTTCTCTCTCGTCCTCTGGCCCACCAGACTACAGCTCACCCGTCACCATTCACATCAAAACAACATTCCTCCCCATTTCTTCTCCTCTATTTTTTTTTTTTTACACATCTCTCTGCTGACTTGCTTTCTTTTTTTCCACTCTTTTGCTCTTTCTTTCTCTTCTCCTGAACCTTCACTGCTCCCGGGGGATCCCTCTCCCATAGCTGACAGTCACAGACCCTGATGCCCCCTCCCTCTAACCCTCTCCCTCTCGTTCTGTCGGTTCTGCCTCGCTGCTCCTCTACACCCCCTCTGAGTGTCAGCCCCCCTGCTGCAGGGAGAGAGAGAGACAGAGAGGGAGAAGAGAACAGCAGAACAGAGTTGCTTGCTTAATGAAGGTATGATATTAGACAGAGCGGACAAAAAGGAGGATCATTTGCCTGAGAAGTGCTGAGATAAAACAAGGCGAAGCTGGAGAAGCAAAGTTGAGAGATTATCTCTTCCACTCACTCCAGTCAGCTCAAGGATTCAGGCAGCTTCGAATATTCACTGAGAAGAATTTAGATGTTGAGACTGTTTGTGTGTGTGGGTGTGTGTGTGTGTTTGTATATACAACCCAACACATTTTCTGGTTTCCACTACCCTTTGTGTGTGTGCTTATGTGTGTGGATGTTTAGCTGCGTCTGTCAGGTGGGGTCGGGATGCGGTCTCCATGGCATCCCTGGGTGCGAACATCTTCCCCTTGTCATCACCGTTGTGACGGCAACGTGTCAGGTTGTTTAGGAAAAGGGGGGGTGGTGGTGGAAGGAAGGGTGAGGACGCTCAGGGGTCTCCCTCGTGTAGCTTAGTGTCAAGGTCGCATCACACACACATACACACTCACACACATTATTGGAACAAAACACACAAGCTCACAAACAATCGCATGCCATCACACATAAACATACACCAACCCCAACACACACACAAATATGCTGTCAAACCTGAGGACAGGACGGGGTGAGCGCAGGGGGACAGGGCGACAGGGTTACCCATCTTTAGACGTGCTGTTCCTACATGTCCGCTGAGAGAGTGTGTGTGTGTGTGTGTGTGTGTGTGTGTGTTTGTGTGTGTGTGTGTGTGAGTGTGAGTGTGTGAGTGTGAGTGTGTGTGTGTGAGGAGCTCAACGGATTGGTCCAATGGGTCCATTTGGGTATGGGCACGTCACAGTACCCAGGAAGACAACAATGGAAAAAGAGAAATCTCCAACAAGGCGTTCTGGGGCAGCATAGACAGGTCTTTTCTGTGTTAGAGTTTTACTCGCTACAGGGTGTACTTTGAGGGTTTGTGACTCTGCAGACCGTTTACATGCAGAAAAACCTTCATAACACACAAGGGGATGGGTAATAACCGGAAAAGCATGACATGGGACCTTTAAAATATGGCCAGAGAACATGTCACTCAGATTAATTAATGCACACACATGTCACTAAACATCAGCATCACCCATTTTGTGTTTGGTGATAATGTGGAATTTCCTCTTGTGCATCTGTAATTTCATTTCATTCCTTTATTTAACCAGGTGAATCCGATTGAGATCATTGATCTCTTTTTCAAGGGAGACCTGCTGCAAGTAGGTTCCACATGAAGACATACATAGATACAGGGATTACAGTTTACATAGCTAGCGACATTTACAGGTACCAACAGTATCAGATTGCATAGCATCTATCCGAGCTTTAAAAACATTTAGTGGAACCGAATTGCTCAGTTTCCATTCCTTTTGCAGACTGTTCCAAGTTAGTGGAGCTGTGGATCTAAAAGCTTTCTTCCCTAAGTCAGTCCTAGCACTTGGCACATTTAAAAGAAACACATCATGAGATCTCAGGCAATAGCTACTTTCAATTCGCCGTGTGATCAGAGAGCAGATGTAAGATGGTTTATCCAACATGGCTTTGTAGATGAAAATGTACCAGTGACTGAGCCTCCATACAGTTAGTGAAGGCAAACCTGCCCTGGCATACAGGGTACAGTGATAAGTTAATACTTTACCGTTAGTAACAAATCTCAGTGCACTGTGATATGCGGCATCTAACTTGATCAGGTAATGGGCAGGTGCATTCATATAGATCAAATCACCATAGTCCAGCACAGGTAAAAAGGTCACAGAGACTAGCCTTTTCTTGGCCTCAAGTGAGAAACAGGACTTGTTTCTGAAAAAGAAACCTAGCTTCACCCTTAGCTTTTTAAGCAGGTTATTGACATGAAGTTTAAAAGAGAGGCAATCGTCAAGCCAGATACCAAGGTATTTGTAACAGGCAACCACTTCAAGTACTTGTCCTTGCGTAGTAACAATATCCAAAGTGGTCTCCGGTGTCTTTTTGGCTTTTGAAAAAAGCATTACCTAAGCTTAAGCTCAGAGAGCTGCGTCTGGATAATATAAAAAACTGCCTGCAATTTAACAACAGCCTCCTTATGGCCAAATACCTGCAAAATGAATGACATCCCTTCAGTTGCAGGTGTACTTTGTGTATAACCTGAACCTGCCAATAAACTAGAATAGGATGGTGAACATGCATTGATAGATTAAAAACAGCAGCATTCTGCCACTGTGTGCATAAAACTAGCATTAAGTTTAAAGCACTGCTGTTGTAAAATGTTGGAGGCTAAATAAAAATTACAAAATAAATTTAAATGTAATCAATCACAGTTAACGAGAACATGTTAAATTTCAGTTACGGTTCAAAGGGGTTACTGCGGTAAATATTCTTATATGTAGAATAAAAAAATTATTTTAATGCTCTGTTCTTATCCTAATTCAAGTAATGGTGAATACAATAGAATATAATAATTTAACGTCATTATACATGTATAATGAGAGAACGAAATGCTTCTCCCTTGCCATCAAAACAAAAAAGCATCACAACATAAGACAACAAACACACGCAGCATACATACTTATGTAGGAATAAGAAATAAAGTGCAGGCATTATTTCCAGGGGTATAACAAATAAAATCTAAAATGTAATAAATAATAATAGTAGGTATGTATTTATAATAATATTAATGATATATATGTATATATATACAGATTCATATTTATTTCACATGCAGGATGATTAAGAGGTATGACTTTCAGGAGTTAAGAGCAATGATGGCTCTTGGGAAAAAACTCTCTTTGAGTCTGTTTGTTTTGGATTTTATACACCTGTAGCGCCTGCCGGAGGGCAGCAGGTCGAACAGGTGAAAGCCGGGGTGTGAACTGTCCTTAATAATGTTTTTGGCTCTACTGAGGCAGCGGGAGGTGTAAATGTCCATCAGGGATGGGAGAAGGCAGCCGATGATCCTCTGTGCTGCTTTTACGACTCTCTCGAGCCTCATCCTGTCGGCCTCAGTGCAGCTGGCGTACCACACTGTGATGCAGTATGTTAATAGGCTCTTGATGGTAGAGCGGTAGAAGGTCACCAGCAGCTTAGTGACCAAGTTGTTCTTCCTGAGCACCCTCAGGAAGTGCAGAAGCTGCTGGGCCTTCTTGATGACAGCTGTGGTGTTGTCCTTCCAGGTAAGGTTGTTGGTGATGAGGACGCCGAGGAACTTGAAGGTGTGGACCCTCTCCACACACTCGCCATTAATGTAGAGGGGAGCGAGGTCGTTAGTATTTCTCCTGAAGTCTACGATGATCTCTTTGGTTTTTGTGGGGTTCAGTGCCTGGTTGTTCACTGAACACCACACTGAAAGCTTCAGTACCTCACTCCTGTAGGCCGACTCGTCTCCTCCTGAGATAAGCCCCACCACAGTGGTGTCGTCAGCAAACTTGACGATGATGTTCACTGGGTGGGAAGAACATTTAATACAAACTAGACAATATTTTGTACATGTTATTTAACTATTTAACTATGTAACTGTTTAACATGTTTAACATTGCATTACAAAAGTGATCTTCCTTACACTGATAGTAAATACAGAGTGTTTTCTGATACACACTTAGTCTTTTGCATCAAGCTGTTAAATTCATCCATCAAAATATGCTCTGGCTTCTTTGAACAAACTTTAAAAAATGCTGGGNACACACACACACACACACACACACACACACACACACACACACACACACACACACACACACACACACACACACACACACACACACACACACACACACACACACACAGACAGAGAGGCT